GGTGATTTCCAGTTATAGAAATCTGTTCTATCTACCCCTTCATCTATTCAACTAGCTGATATACACTAACACTGATAACAAAAATAATAAATAATAATAGTATTTAATAGCAGAGGACATTTATTGAATACTTACTTATGTTCCAGAAATTCTCTTAAATACTTTACACGGATTATCTCATTTATTTCTTTTGATGACCTCAAAGAAGGGTATAAATACCCTCATTTAACAGATGAGAAATCTGAGACTCAGAAAGATCATAACTTCTTCAATGTCAACACAATAAGTGCGTTGGCAGAATCAAAGTCTAAATTCCAGTCAGCCTAATGCCAGAGTCTCTGTTTTTCTATTCTGAATAGGATAGTTTAGAATATTTTATTCTCTACTATAGATATATATAGAAAAGTCTTGCTTTTTTCAGTGTAGATTAAGCTCTCAGCCCTCGAGCTCTCAATCTTCCTAAGTTTTCATGACACTAGTTTGTTTCAGACTTTCCTTTCTAGCACTTATTTTAGACCATGACTAGGGTAATCAGATAACTTATCTGATACTTTGGAGAGTGAAGCGACTGCTGTTATTCAGTATGCTGGGGCAGTAGGAGTTAACTGGATTGACATGGGGTCAATCTAATGAGCCACTAGGATACCCCACCCACAAAGGGCAAGCCTAGGTATTTCTCTCAATGATCCCGTTATGTCTCTTTTATTTTCCCTGGATTAATTTTCTGGGCAACTTTTTATTTTTTTGTTTTTTTTCTGTTACAGAGCAGAAATTTTAATAAGCAACCTTAAAAGAACAAAATATCCTAATATTCCTTTAGAGCTGATTAGCTATAGACACAGAGGCACATTCATTTATCACTGTTACAGTAAAACTATAAAATGCTCAGTACCTTTAATAAGTCCTTTTTCCTGCAGAGTTTTCAGGGAAGGTCTTCGGGTAATAAACTTCTTTAATCTGCTTTTAACTCGGTTTTTGTCGCTTGTATCGGAAGCACTATGATGCAGTCTGAACACTGGAGATTTAAAAAAAAAAAAAAACAGTCGCAGGCTTTCAGTAAATTTTTCTTTTATGATTATTACTTTATGCAAATATGAATAGAAAACAGTACTTATGAAAGAACTACCTGAATTAATAGCCATGGCTCTTCTGTTTAGACAGGGCATACAAGTAAATTTGCCTGTGTAAATGTACTAGTTTGGCTGCAACATTAGTGTGCGATGAAAATGCGGCCCGCTCCACATATTCAAAATTTATTTTAATTATTTTCATAAATTATTTTCATTTTCATTCCCTTATATTAAGCATAATAACCTTTATTTGGATAATTTCACCTATCTGTATCTATACACAAAATTATGATGAGGGTAGAGGAAAAAACTAAGCTAAATAGGGGTAAAAAACTTTAGAATCTTGTTCATTTCAATTAAATATGATTATATATTTCCTCTAGATAATCCATCCAGTGGGACCTCAAAAGAAAGGCTGGTGATCTACCTCTGTAAGATCACAGCCATCGGAAACCCTATGGAGTGCAGTACTACTCAGACACATGTGGGGTCTCCATGAGTAGGAATCTACTCGATAGGAATGGGTTCTATGTAATTCAGGCATTTTCCAAGTTTCTGTAAACTCAAATGGAGCCCTGGTGGTGCAGTGGTTAAGAGCTCGGCTGCTAACTAAAAGGTCAGCAGTTCGAATCCACATGCCACTCTTTGAAAACCCTAGGGGGTGGTTCTCTTTTGTCCTATAGGGTTGTTATGAGTCGGAATCGACGCTATGGCTATGGGTTTAGTTTGTAATGTTGTTGGTGTTGTTAGGTGCCGTCAAGCCAAATAACTTTGTCAATCTTTTTTTTTTTTTTCTGTTATCCCAGATTGATTTCTTTTTCTAAACCAGGTACTTCTTCCTTTCCTTACTGGTATGTAATTACCAATTCTAGGTGAAATTGTGAAACACAAATTTGCCTCAAACTTTTCATGTCTTCATCAGTCCCCTATTCTCAGCATCCTATTCTCAGCTTTATCTGTAAAGCTAAGCGTGTGCCAAATTCATGCCCTAACAAATATTTGCTGAATGCATAGTAAGTATCAGGGTTCATGCTAAAAGCTGTAAATTCAACAATGCGCATAATATATCAAGTCCAAACTTTCAATAAGCATACAGTCTAAACACATTCAAGATGTGTCATTTTTTTATGACTGTAGGACTCTGTTGGCCCTGTAATATGGATCTTAACTGAGGCCTCCACTGTCTTAATCCAGTTGTTTAAATGTGAGTATTTGGGTACTTTATCTGGTACGTAGAGGCTCTTTCCTGTCAAATCTGCCTGGTCCACAGTGTGAGAAGCCTTCTTATGACTAGTGAAGGAAAGACATGTTTGTCCTCCCTCCCCCATTCTGACCATAGAGCAGTCCCAAACTTGAGTTAGCAAGATTGGGAGCTGAGATGACAATCAAAAATGTCTCCAGACATTGCCAAATATCCCCTGGAGGGCAAAACTGTCTCCTGTTAAGAATCACTGCTTTTATATTAGAAAAATTATGGGCCTTGCTTGAGTTCTCATTCGTTGGTGGTAGACAGTCTACCCACACACTGAGAAAATGTAAAGTGCTACTAGATGATAAAAAAAGAGGACCATATGCCAAAACATAAACACACAAATGGACCATCTACTACATACATGGCAGTGCTGGATTTAACTGTAGTGGATAAAATGCACATTGTCTGTGGCGTTTGGATATGTAACCAAGTAATCCTAATACAGTCTGGTAAAATGTACGATAGACATAAGTACAAGAATTAAGGGATCCTAGAGAAGGGACTGACCTCAAGTCTTGTTCTGGAGAAACAGCAAGAGCTATTAGACTATTAATCATTAATCTAAAGACTGGCAGTTCAAACCTACCAAGCGGTGCTGCAAAAGAAAGGCCTGGCAGAATGCTTCTGTAAAGATTACAGTCAAGAAAATCCTACGGAGCAATTATACTCTGTAACACGTGGGTTTGCCATGAGTTGGAATCAACCTGACAGCAATAGGTTTATTAGAATACAAGGAAGCAAAAATTGCTTGTACAGGACAATCATTAGGGATTGAAATGCACCCCTGAAAAATATGTTTTGAGTTCCTGGCCCTTGTATACTTGTAGATTTGATTCTGTTTGGAAGTAGAGGTTTCTCTTTTGTTAGGTTGATGGGGTTCATACCAGTATTGGGTGTATCCAAACCTAATCACTTCTGAGTTATAAAGAGACAAGAATAGACACACACACATACACACGGGAAGACAGACACCATGTGAAGATTATCTACGAGCCAAGGAACAAAGGAATGCCTGGGGCTGCTGACAAGGAAGGACTCTACAGGGTCGAGATCATGATATGGACTTTCAGTCTCCAGAACTGCTAGAAAATAAATTTCTGTTCTTTAAAGCTACCTGCTTGTGGTATTTGTGTTATAGCAGCACTAGGTAACTAAGACAACCATGAATATCAGGCACTAACTAATTCAAAATTGTTGGCTTGAAGAGTTCTTCTGAGCATCTTAATACAGTGTGCTTACATGGTATCCTATCAACTTTCATCTTCAGTCTAGCCATTGCAATGACCACCTCAACTGGCATATGATCTGCTTCAATTGACAATTGTAGTCAACACCCGTAGATCTGGGTTCTAGTGTTGGAGGCTGAAGGGATATTTACATCTTTTAGGAAAAAATCTGCCTCAGGGCAAGTTTGGTCTAAAGTCTGCCTTTGGAATGATATGGAATAATCCATCTAAGTTTTCAAAGGTTACCAAAGGTAATATTTTCTATTTCTGATCTCACCTCCAAACCCTGATGTTTCTCAAGACAAAATGTCAACAATTACTTGGCCAAGGGAGATATTTTCCCTGTTATTTTGGAGCAAGTTAAAATGATGTGATTAGAAAGTACCCTGCAAATTAAAATATACATATACTCAGTATAAATGCTAAATTATGAAAATAATTACATAGTGAGTTATAGAGTTATATCTTTTTGGAACCCCCTAGGTACTCTGGTGATAGTATTCTTAATTAGAGAGATCTATATGTATATTATATTATTTTCGATACAACCATCTGGCTCTACATGTGAGAAGTGTGCATAAGGTGCATTGGTTTTTCAAAGAAAATGGTAATATGTTTGTAAGTGCTTTATCTTATTTCCTTCTCATATATTGAGAAACGAGCAGAGTCTTGGATATGATTACAGTTTTTAACATAACCAAACTCTCCAAAGTTGCCTCTAATGATGACTTTCCTGGAGACAGACTAGAGCGTCAACTTCCATTTCCTGATGCGATAAATAATCATCCTCAGATGACAAGTCAAATTACAAGGGCTTTGCCATCATTCATTCCGCTCATTTTGTTCTAAGAGGAGTTATGCAGAAGTCGAAGCCAATAGATGACTATAATATATGGCTATTTTTTATTAACCAAATAACTTGAAAGAGCTATAAATACAAAATAAAAATATAAAAAGTGCATAGTTATAAAGCAAGGTCCATCACAGGGTCCCTTTAAACAGCAGTAAACGTCTTTGAATACTGTGGTTTACAAATCTGATTTTAACAGCCAAACTTATAAAACAGTTTACGCTGTTCCATTGTCAAGGGAGAAAAACTTGCCAAATTGTTCATTTTAAGTAAATACAACATAACCAATTAAGGAAAGCAAAATTTAAACACATGCCTATGATAATCAGGACATAGTTTGCTTCTGATTTCACTACTGATTTTAACAGAACAGTGTTCCTTGCATTTTCCCACAGCACCCAAGTGACCCCACACATACTTTTAGAAACTTGTAATCACACAGTGCAAATAAAAGGATACTTTACTGGAAAATACACAGTGTGGTATAATAATCCATCATCTATGAAAAATAGAATTCAGCCTTTTCTTTTTCCTCAGAGATCCAACTACTTTTTGAGGGTGAAGCTTCCTGCAGTTTAAAGATTTATGTTAAGCCAATGAGCAGTTTTTTTTCCATTCACATTTAAACTTTTTATTCAAAAATGAAAAGGGCCTAGTGAGATATAGGCTTAATTCCAAAGCACCTAATCTGACTTATACAGGAGACTAGAGAAATCACTCGTAATTCTTCACATTTTCACCTCCATGAACAATTAACCTGAAGTGCAATTAGTTTTTCAGGTATTATAGAATTTACTTTCATTTCCTTTATGTTTTCCTCTCTTTTTTTTTTTTCAAGCCAAAACATAGAATATTTTTCAAAGTCTAAGAATTCTGAATAACAATATACAACTTAAGTCTCAATGCACACAGGCCAAAGGCATTAGTTTTAAGCGCCATTCTTAACCAGTTGAGAGATTTAATTGGTGCTAAAGCTGCTCACACCAGAGAATAGTTACGATTGTGGGCTTTCTAAGTTGATCTTCAATAAATATTATTACATATGAGAATAGGCATTAGCCCAACACAGGTTTTATACCTGACACAGCTATTGTGGTGTTCAAATCACCTCAATAGGTAGGAATGTTTACTGCAATGGGCACCCCTTATATATTTATTTCCCAAGGGAGACAACATAGTTTGAATGATGAATATCCACTACCATTCTATTAAGGGTATGGGAACCACAAAAGAAAAACCCCAAATCTTCCAGAATCCAATGGTTTGGATAACATGATCCAGAATTGAGCATCTGCCAGCACTTCTCTTGCTGGGGACTTTATTTTGAAATATCCCTTTCTTCTGCCAAACTGCTGTTCTCGCAGTATTCCCAAGTTACAATTACATGTTATTATTATTATTTTTCTAAAATTTGGAAATGCTGGGAGAGCTAACATTTCAGAAATGTTGTTAAAAGAAAGCAGAGTCATTACCCTTCAGAAATGCTATTACAGTGTTCTAGTCCCATTTCGTTTGTAGGGGTTTACATAGGGATCAACATCAGGTGTAGATGGACAGTTTTGTTAGCTGCTAAGAGCAACACTTGAAGTCCGGGAGGAGGTTTAGGGCAAAGCCCACGGCAGTTACTTAGTGCAATCATCTCATCACACTGAAGTGTCAGGAACTGGTGATCCAGAAAGAAATCACAAAATAAGGTTATGTCAGGCTTAGTCCCTAGAAGGAGCCCTGGTGGCGCAGTGGTTAAGTGCTTGGCTAACAGAAAGGTTGGTGGTTCAAACCTACCAGCTGCTCTGCAGGAGAAAGATGTGGTAGTCTGCTCCCATAAAGATTTACAGCCTTGGAAACCCTGTGGGGCAGTTCTACTCTGTCCTATAAGGTCACTATGAGTCAGAATCGATGGCAAGGGGTTTAGTCCACAGAGATTCTAAAACATTGCTCAAACCATCAAACAGATTACATAATAAAGTACTGCATTTTCTTCACTCATATTTTCCAATCTGACCTTCTCCTTGTGTTTGGAATTACCTTGTTTTACTACATTCCAAATTACCGAAAGGAGAGCACCTTACACAAAACTGATTGAAAAAAGAAATAAAGTTTATTCAACTTTGTTTCCAGGGTGTACACATGTGCTAACTGATGGGGCTAGAGTAAATACAGCTTTGCCCTCTCCAGCATGCAGTTTTAGAGCTTCCAGGGCTTTGCACATAACTCCCTGCATCAGATCAGGCAGAAAGGGTAAGTTTGGGCTTAATGTACACAGGTCAGTTAATATTTCTTTTTTTTCAAATGCTCAATTTCAATAGAAGTCATAATTTCAACCCCCAACCTGCAGACTGAGAAGGTGAGTTATTGAAACTGTAAGTGACTTACTCAAAACACAAAGTAAGATTAAATCTAGAAATAATTGGAAGAAAGAATGTAGGGTGTTTTATCAGCAGTGATTTAACTACTTAATTCCCACTTAGAAGTTGTAGAAATATAAAATAGATGATTAGACTTGTAACAGAAGAGTATGCAGAAATTATCTTCTTAATGATTCATATTTATGCTATCTATTCACATAAAGAAAAGTGAGAATTCATACAATGAAAATTTTTACTCTTAGACTAAATCTTCTAATTTAAATAATCAAACATAACCAAAAATAATTGGTTGTGCATTCAACTATCTCAGGAGGTAGCATATGATCAAGAACCAATGGTACTGAAGGTAGAAGTCCATGCTACACTGAAGGAATTGGTAAAAACAAGCCTTCAGGAATTGATGGAAGACCAACGGTGATGTTTCAACAAATGGATGCAATGCTGGAAGTGCTCACTCATCTATACCAAGAAATTTGGAAGAAGCTCCCTAGTCAATCGACTGGAAGAGATTCATATACATGAGTGTTTCAAAGAAAACTGATCCAACAGAGAGCATAAATTATCAAAAAATATCATTAATATTACATAAAAGTAGAATTATGCTGAAGGTAATTAAAAAGCGGTTGCAGCAGTACATCCACAGGGAATTGCCAGAAATTCAAGCCAGATTTAGAAGAGGATGTGGAATAAGGGATATCATTGCTGATGTCAGGTGGATCTTGGCTGAAAGCAGAGAACACCAGAAAGATATTTACCTGTGTTTTATTGACTATGCAAAGGCATCTGACTATGCAACCTCGCTGCTGAAAGTGAAGAGGACTTGAAACACTTACTGATGAAGATCAAAGACTACAGCCTTCAGTATGGATTACACCTCAACATAAAGAAAAGAAAAATCCTCATAACTGGACCAATAAGCAACATCATGATAAATGGAGGAAAGGCTGAAGTCGTCAAGGATTTCATTTTACTTGGATCCACAATCAACACCCATGAAATCAAAC